AAAAAAAAAAAAAAAAAAAAAAAAAAAAAAAAAAAAAAAAAAAAAAAAAAAAAAAAAAAAGTTGAAATTGAGACAAGTGAAAAGTGAGGATGAAAATGTGACTGGCATGAGACGCCACATAATTGGCAATTGGGCAAACGTAAAAGTTGATTTTTCCTGAAAGATTATTCTTCATTGACGAAGTACTCTTCCTCAGCAGGGCAGTATGAATAAAATATGAAAAAATTACAGTTGAAGTTGATCATGTTGCCAGAAGTTCATGTGAAATATATCTGTTTTCTGAAAAATTGACTTAAAAATTTCTTATTCTCTCCTGCTTCATGCTCCGACGAGGGTGGATTCTTGTAATTCAAACAAGAATTGAGGGGCTTGGAAGACAAGGCACATACTTAAGTGCCCATTTTATTATTTCGAAAAAAAAACGAGTTTAAATTTCAAGAATTTACTCGGACCTAAAGAGTGCTCCGAATACCTTCAAAATTTACAAGTGTTTGTCTCACACCTTCGTGAACGTCTTCTGAAATTTTCAGCTTAGTTAAGCCAAATTGAGGCCAGCAGTAGGGCTTAAAGTGATAGCAGGTCTCCCTCATCCCACGTTCCCTCTAAACGTAAAATGCACTTTTCCCTCTCGCTGTTTTCTCGGCGTCAAATAACTTCCAGACAAAATCGCTTGGTATTCTGCTAGAACTGCTTGGTATTCTACCTTCAACTACCAAAACACACGCATAGCTCAATTTTGATCAAAGATATGCTCCTGAGCACTCAACTTTATTCTTATTTCTATCCTTCCTTTTTCAACCTGGAAAAACATGTAATGCTCCAGATTTCTGTTCCTCCTTCACCTTTCCTTTCTGTTTTTACCTCAGTACTGAACTTTTGGGGAAGTCCAGTCGTTTTCTTATAGGTATCTCACCTGTTGTAATACTATCATAATGAGCTATGACACGCAGCTGAGGCGGCTGGGCTCTAATCTCTAGTCAGGAATTAGAATTTGTAAGACTGCACTCAAGCATGTGCCACGTCTTCCAAGCCCCTCAATTTAAGACATGGGAAAAATATAGATAATTGCACTTTCAGAAATAAGGGATGCAGGAGGTATTTGTTAATTGGCTCCAAGTGAGGCATAATGTTCAGTCGTAAGGGATAAGGGTTGTTGGATAAACTCATCATGGGATCCATGGTGCAAACTCTTAAGGTGCTTCAAGGCTCCCCTGCAACCCTATTACTGAAATTTTAGGTTTGTCAGGCAGACATACTTAGATGATACAAGTGAAATGACAGAATTTGATTGGTCGGCTATGTCTAATCGCTGCTTTGTCATACCTACTTATATAGGGAAAAATTGACAACAAGCTGAAGGCACCTCTTGAGTTCCCGACAGCATGCTGTCAATGCTACACAACATAGGCTCGACAAAACTGTTATGAGATGTAGCCGACCAATCACACTCCGCCAATTCACCTTTATCACCTAAATCTGCAGGACAGAAATAGAATTTCAATAATTGACTTGCCAGGTGAGAGGCAGTCGTCTTCGCGAGATTCTATCTTATTTCATTAATTTATTTCATGTAAGCCTTTTGGTTCTGCGGAAAAAATGTCTCCATCTCAAAGCATGCATTCTAATAAAAGGAACAAACCTTGAATAGGAATCACATGGGAGTTTTGCCCAATTCGTACTTTTCAACTTTTGATACAACATTTCTTCCAACTTAGTGGCATGAAAATGTTTAAGGTGTGTTCCAAATAAAGCCAAATTCAACAAACATCCAACAAAAGAAGACAAAAAGTCCGATGGAAAGTTGAGCGCAAACAAATTGATACAATTGCTGTTACCATGTGTTATCATCAAACAGACTTCCGGTTTGCGAAGATATAGCATAGTTTTGGCTGAAATTGATCAGTAGATATTGATTCGACTCTCCATCAAAGGACCTCACACACCTCCCATGGGAAGCTGCACCATGACTGAATGCTAATTCATTTATGTCATTCGATTCTCCACAAGATGCTGATCAAAAGTTATAGTTGCGCCAACTTTCTACAATGCACCGTTTTCGCAAAAAAACCGCCGGGCAAATTCAATTCTTTGGCGATAAAAAGCCATAAAGATTCTTCATTTCAGTACTCGATTGACAAGCGGCTGTGTGTCAATAAGGAAATCATGGGAACTCCCACACTCAGCGGCAGTCTTATCTCGGATTCCACACGCCGTTTTGTTCGACCATCCAAATCAAATTCTTGAGGAGCATAAGAACAGGAAAGTCGGAACATCAACCGGACAAGAGTGGGGGGGAGATAGCCCCAGAGTCGGCAGGTACAGATAAGAAGATGGACACACGCTATGTTTTATCCTTGTTTACATCGGGCCTGTTCTCAAATGCTTCGTTCATTTTTATTCATTGTCACCAAATTGTTAAAATTATTTCAATTATTATTGAATCCTCTCAGCAGTTTTTTGGCGAAAACGGTGTATCATAGAAAGTTGGCACAATTATAACTTTTGATCAGCATCTTGAGGAGAATCGAATGACATAAATAAATTAGCATTCGGTAATGGTACAGCTTCCCATAAGAGGTGTGCAGGGTCCTTTGCCTTACCAATCAGATGGTGAGTTGAATTAATCGCATTCAAGGTTCCATTCAACTTCCCATTAGATTGATACATTGATGTGCCAGTCTCATCATTCAATAAAAGCAGATGAACAGTTGAACGAGAAGTTATACAGTGTGAATTGGGCAGAGGAAAAATTTCCATTAGAGCGAATCGGGGGAAAAGTTGAATGAAATATTCAAAATTGGGTTTGAAAGTTGTAATTAATTTTTTTGAATGCCTACAAAGGCGCACTCTTGACTGTGAGCAAGTCTTCCATGTCATATGGGATCCGAACTGTGAATTCTTGTGCTGCTTCCCAGCCGCAATTTCAAAAAAAGAGGGAGGAAGATCAAGAAAATGGATAGTGACGGAATTCACGGGGCAATCAACAGAAGTACTTCATTATTTCATGGGACAGGCACAATACGGAAAGAAGGGTACTTATTAGGATCGAATAAAACGTTACAAAACTTACAAAAGTGAAAAATATACTAAACATAATAAACGTGCTTGAAGATACCTAAGTACATACCTATCTTCTTCCATCAATGAAATATTTGCACTCATCCTTCCAATTTTTATGCGGCGAGCCCGGCAAAGCACATAAGCAAGAACTGAATGATTGATCAATTAATAAAGAATAAAATATAAAACTTTAAAACGAGAACATAACGGTACGGCGAGAGAACTGTTTGACTTCGAAGTAACGAACTTTTACTGTAGAGTATAGAAGGTTAGAAGACCCGACTCAATGATAGAAAACTGAGACAGAAGTTGAAGAAGTTGCGTACGTTGACACGAGAGTGCGCTAGTACCTACAGCTCGCTCATTGGTCAGTGATGACGCCAAGGCCAACTACTGCAAATCTATTGTTGCAGATGCTAACGCGCTCTCGCGTCGACGTACGCAACTTCTTGCTTTTACGACAAACTAGTGTTTCAGGCTGACAGTACAGCGATCTTGTAGCGGTTTTTTGAACTAAATTTACAATTAGTTGCACTATGGGCCAGTAGAGTGCGCTCGTGACACGAGCTCAGGTTCCCTGGCTTGATTCGCCCGCCAGATTCAAATTAATGATCTTGCTCTCCATATTCATTCCAACTTTCCAAACTCAGCGAGTGATGAATTCTCTTCCAGAGCATGTTCTTTTAAAATGAGTGGGAAAAGTAGAAATGGTAACAAAAACGATACTTTGGAGCAGAATTCATTTCTATCGCTAAATTTGGAAAGTTGGACTTTGAAAGGCATTGCTGTATTTTGTTACAATGGCATATTCATTTCAGTAAAAAATTTGAGTTAGATAATGTGAACCTGGCATAATCATAATATGATTCAGAGGAGTTGATAAATTAGTTACTTTGCAAGTATGCATTGGTTTTATCCACAGGAATGTAAGAAAGAGGAACCACTGAATTTTCTTTTGGAGAGGAGAGGGTTTATTATTATTATTATTATTAATTTAACTTAAAAAATCTGCAATACAGCAAAAATATATTAGTTTAGGAAGCTAAAAATGTGGCACAATGAGGGACTCACTGCACCGATGAGCGTACTGAGCTGAACATCACAATACAATTTTAAGATTTTTCACAATTTAGAGAAAACACAACAAAAAAATTAAATTAATTGCAGGTAGGTACAGAATGCAAGAACAATAATACATCTGTATGGGAGAAATGTTAGAAATAAAATTTTAAGCAATATTAAAAAAATTCACATTCCATATCGGAAATGAATGAGTCACTTATTTTTTTTAGCTAAAAGTAACGTGACAGAAATTTGATTTTATGCTTGAAGTATATCTGCCAGCAGAGATACTTCAATGAAATGCACGAATCAGAATCTAGAATCTATAGAATTCTTCTCTTCATCAGAATTCTATAGCTAAGGCAAAGGAATATATAAAACACCAAAAACTTAAAACGATTTAGATGCTTGATATAACTATTCGTGCTTAACGGGTGTCGATATTGCATAAGGCGCGATGGCATGAATCGTGAGGCCTATTTAGACTAACACCATAGAGTACATAACACAATATAGACATAGAGCAAGGGAAAGGACTCGCGTTGGCGACGGCGCAGAGATACAACTATTCGTACATCATTGATGTCCGTGTTGTATCTGCAAAATTGAAGGCGCGATGGCGCAAGGTGCGAACTCGCAATGCTTCGTTCTATACTGCCAATGAGGTGTCTCTCAAATTCGGGAGAAAAAGATAAAAAAACGAGGCTCGATTACGTCTCGGCTTTGTTGTTACTCGATTTTTTTTTCTTTTTTCAATTTGAATTTTGATTTGTTTTTTACGATGTATTTGCAAACCTACATCCAGGCCCGCCACAAGGGGGGGGGGATACTGGGTCCCTGGTACCGGGGCCCGGGCCCTGGAGGGGCCCGTGACGCAGGTGACAAACCACTACGAATTCATGTGTAACCCTTGTCTCGTAGGGAAAAGTGAAAGAATTACCCTAAAAATTCCGCAACAGGTGAATAAAGTTTCAAAAACACGCTAGGGCACTATGAAATTTTTCTTACTTTTTTAGAGATTTTCAAGATTTTGAGTATATGTAGAATGATATTTTTAGTAACTGTGTTTCATTTTCTTCCGTTGTCGGATGCTAAGAGGCTCCTTTCTGGGCATCCTCGACTTCAATGGCTTAACTCCCTTGCAATAGACGTACGAAAGGGGAGTCCAGGGGGGCCCGGCTCCCCATAGAATTGAAAATTATCATCTGCCCCCTCAAAAAAAAATTTATAGATGTTTAGAATGCAACAATTCGAAAGTTTTTGGTGCTGAAAGTAAACAAAAAGGCGTAATTATCCTGCAGAAATTGATGGAAAATCTCCAGCATAAGGGCTTCATAATGCGTCCAAATAGATTTAAAATTTCAAAAATTTCCCGGGGGAGGCCGCCCGAAACCCCCCCCCCCCNCCCCCCCCCCCCCTGTGCTAGGGGCCCGGGCCAGAAAATTGGTACCAGGGCCCGAGATGGGATGTGGCGGGCCTGCCTACATCTAAGGCTCGCACGTACCGATCCCTTGCAACCCGCGGGGCATGTGTTTTAAGCAAACCTCGGGTCAATTTGACTCGGGGTTGGTAGATACACATGTAAAACATAAATAAAGACTTTTCTTAAGTGGGAAATAGCAGGATTAGCCGTGTTTACTTCAAAATCAGCTGCATCCAAGCAAAAGTTTACAGAATTGTGATCGCGAATTCTCACTAGCTAACTGAATCCTTCATAGGCATTCAAATTATTCTGCCCTTTCTCGGAAAAATTTCGTCAAAGATCCATGATTTGGAAAAATATGCAGCATTTTACTACTTCATTACCATAAATAAACCTGAATTTGTGCAGTTAGGGTCACCTTTCTTGGCGAGACAACGAATAATAGAACTCAATTCAGACACGGAAACCAAATTCAGGGTCACAACTCCAAGAGTTGACCAAACGTAGCTTAGTATTTCCATGTACTGCAGTCCAAAGCCACCAATAATCAAAATAAACACGGCCAATCCTGCTATTTCCTACCTGAGAAAAGTCCTTACTTCTGTTTTACACGTGTTTCAACCACCTTTAAGCCACTTTTTTGCCATAAGCGATAGACACAGCGGCTCACTCTCGAATGAAGCACCGTGAAAATTTGGACCCGTGCGGAGAGGAGGAGGGTTTAGAAGACCCCACTTTTCTTGAGTTCTAATACAGTCGAAAATAGGAGAGACGTATTCGGGCCTCTTTTTAAACTTTTCTCCCGAATCTGAGCAATACCTTATTGACAACATATAGCGGAACATTGCCAGTTCACGCTCCGCGTCTTCGCGCCTTCACTTTTCCAGATGCAGCACAGACGTCCATCAAGCACGAATAGTTGTATCATCGCACTGCCGTCAAAGCGCATCCTCTCCGTTGCTCTATTTCCATAATGTGTTTGTTTTTGTTGTCGTATTCGTCTTGGTACTTCAAGGGCTACGTGAGCAACACAGCCGAAGTTGGGAGAGACGTAATTTAGCCTCGTTTTTTAGCTTTTCTCTCAAATCTGAGCGACACATCATTGGCAGCATAAAGCGGAGTATTGCGATTTTACGGCTCGCGCCATCGCGTCTTCAATTTTGCAGATGCTGCACGGAGATCCATCAAGCACGAATAGTTGTACCGTCGTCAACGCGCATCCTTTCCCTTGCTCTATTCGTGCATATTCCATTCGGTTCATATTGAGGAGAAAAAAATCGACATCACTTCTCGAGGGTCTCGTAGAATTTTTTTCGCAGAAAAAAAATATCACGGCAGTGTTCACGAAATACCGTTGTGTGCTTCTCCATTTAAAAAAATAAAGTATGACCGGAAGTCTGAAACGTCCTAAACCGAGATACTTGGTTGCGGAAGTACACGGTCGACATACTTTTCTTTTTGTTATTCGACAAATGACGGGTACAACGTAGCAAAGGAACTTATTTGTAAAAAAAAAAAAAAAAAAAAAAAAAAAAAAAAAAAAAAAAGTGCGGAAACTTTTAAACTGACTTAATTCAAATTCGAATATTAATGTAAAATATTACTTTTAAAGCGTGAAAAATTAAAATTCCACGATTTTAAAGAAAAAAATGGATAGATAAATACATACTCATAAATACATCCCACGTATAATTAAAGGTCCCGAGTAGGTACCTTAGGGTGCGTCAAAAAAAATGAAAGTCTGAAATGTTCCGCTCCCCAGGCGGCAATCGATGACGTTTGGTAAAAAAACATGTTTGCCAAAATTTGGGCCAATTTCAACCATTTTAAATGGTGCCAAAGGTCAATTTTGTGATGAAATTATGATATTTTGGTTTAGACCTCCATTTCGTGCAAAAAACTCGATTTTACGCTGAAATCGTGCGTTTACGACAAAAATGCCAAAGAACTCGACTTGTAGAGGATGAAATTTTACACTAGGACGTCTTTGTAACCGATAAAAATCAAATTGAACTAGAAAAACTCAACTCGGTATTTATTTTTTTGGTCCTCAGAATTTCCGAGGTCTTAGAAAGTAGAGGTTTAAAAGACTCATTTTTCACGAAAATAAGTCGACAGAGGGTGTAAATGAACTGTAGGCAAGTGTTGAGGATGCAAATGTCATCAGAACTTCCTCAGTTTCAAAAAAAGTTCCAACTATTTTGCACAATCCTCCAAAAAGTGCACGGCTCGAGAAGCAGGATCGTGCTATAATAGTAAGGGGAAAGTGCGGTTTGACCGGCAAAAACTGCGAAACAAACTTTCCCTATGTAATCGTCATCAGTAGGTCCCCCTGAACAACTTCCTAAAAGTTAAAAATGGCCCGACCCCGGAATACCCCTCAAAAAAGTTAAAATTGAAAATGGCGGCCGTAATAAGAGGGTCCGGGAAATCGGTATTTTAAAATGCTCATTCTGTCTCATCATGTGAGGTATCATTTCCTATGTAATTTTGGTCGCAGATTTCATGAATGAATTCCGCAAGGCCCCTTCTAAGCTTACGTTTCTCTCGGTAGTCGTACGTTTCCTTTATTTTCCTTTATTAAATACATTTATAACATCAAATTTAAGTTTCTTGTTCATAAATACATGAAAATAAAGACAGTTCACTTTCCTTGTTCCTTCGGTGAATATCACTGTGCAACAAAAAAAAATGACAAAAATGTCTCCCGAACGAGATAAGGTGATCCTTATGTATTTTGAGGCGCTGAATCCGAATATGACCTCCGTCTTTTCCCATCACCCTCCAGTT